GGGGGCCGGGTCTCACCAGTCCTCCGCCCTTCCCCGGGAGATCAAAAATTGAGACAGCCGGTCAGGGTTCATTTCTGGGGGCCAGCCGTTTCGGGGGAGGCTCGTACCACCGGGGGCCTCTGGCTGGGCAGGGAGATGAGGGGACGGGGCAGCGCCTTGGCCTCTTCAGCTGCTTGCAGCCCCTCCGCCTGCCACCGGTACTGGCGAGCCCGAAGGATGCCAGGCACCTCCCGCTGCAGCCGCTGGGAGCTCTTCTTCTGCCACACGTTGTACTTGGAGTACTTGGCGTGTGAGGGCTTCTGGAAGCTCTCCTGCAAGGGGAGAGGATAGCAATGTCAGCCTCAACACAAGCCTGCCCACCCTCTGGATGGGGTTCCCCTCTTTGAGCTCCATCCATCCATCCCATGGAAACATTGCCCTATCCCATGGAAGCATTGCCCCATTCCTGGAAACATTCAAGGTCAGGCTGGACGGGGCTCTGAGCAACCTGAGCTAGTTGAAGATGTCCCTGCTCACTGCAGGGAGATTGGACTAGGTGACCTTTCAACAGCCCTTCCAACCCAAACTATTCTATGATTCCAAGATCCAGCCCACCCCTGTTCCCCCACCTTATTAAAAGCTGACTTTGTGCAGTGTATTTGCCGTGGGTTGCCAACAGTGGCCACGTCTCCAGGGCTCTGCAGAAGCAGCAGACCTTACAGCTGGGGTTTCTCCTCTCCCACCCAGAGCATTCCCATCTTTCGTCTTGCTATTTATTTCGGAGAAGGGCCACCATCCCAGCACAGCCCCCCTACCTTGCTGAGCACCGGCAGGCCCGCCAAGGAGGTGCCGGAGAGGTCGCGCTCGGACTTGACGGACTTGGCACAGTAGGTTTCCAGCAGAGCCAGGTCACAGCTCCGAAAGCAGCACTCCTCCACAATTCCCCGGTTGATCCGCCGGTTATTTCGCCCCACCGGTCTACCTGCAATGGCAGAGACCCCAGCGTTAGCCACCAGCCTGGACTGGACTCTCTCCCCTTCTCCATGGCACCCGTCCCCTTGCAGGGATCCCTCCACCTGTCACTGGACACAGGTAGGTCCCACACTCTTCAAAAACAGCAGAGCTTCTCCCAAACCAGCTGACATGTGCCCACAAACTGTCGAGCTTCGCGTTAAGACTTTCCAGGACAAATGCTGTTGATGCCAACAAGGCCCTCCACATGCGAGCGGCACTAATTAAAGGCGCTTGATACGGCAGTGATTTATTCCTCTCCTATACCTCCGATGTAGGTGTCTTTTTTGGGCTGAAGCAAGGAAGCTCAAGCCCAGTCCAGCTGCCAGCACTTGCACCGATTACTGTGACCGTCTCTGATGTTGATCCTGGCAAGGGAGTTTTATTAGAAAGAAGCAGCACAGTGTTGTGGCTACAAACCTCCCTCCGTCGGGTCAACGCTCAGGCAGGTGAAGCGAACCAAGGCGGCTAAATTTTACCAGATGGGACAGCCCTGAGACAGCTGCAGAAAGAATACAGGCTGCTGCACCTGCCAAGAATAACTATTAAACCTAATCTTTTAATAAGGGTTCCTCTCCCATTTCTGCCTGCAGAAGGATGCAGAAGTCTGTGTGCGGTGCAGCAAGAAGCAAGTGCATTTTGCATCGCCGCTTAATGATGGCCAAAGCGCTCCAGGTGGAAAGCTTACACCGTTTTACTGGTTTTCCTCCCCCTCTTGAAATAAAAGAGATGGACAAATTTGAATTTCAGGTGCAAAAAAAATTTGCTTGGGAATTGCAACTTCCAAAACAAACAGAAATTGACTCAAAATGAAAGGATTTTCAATAGCGCAATGCCTAACACTATTCACCATGCCACACCGAGGCCCCAGCTCCCAGCCAACCTGTGGGAACACACAAAGCGGTCCACATTGACCCCATCCACGATCCACCCTGCACTCCGGATGAAGGCGGCACTCAAGCATGTGGCCTTGGTGAAGATTTAAGAGTCCTGCCTTGTAAGGTGTTGACCAGTGTATCCCCAGGGGATATTCCATCTAGGAATCCACATCTAGGTGCAAAACAGAGGAGTTTTCTGTGCATGCAGTGCAACCCCACATGTGAAAAGCAGCCACATACGTGCAATGAAAGCACGCATGTGCAACGCAGCACCACGCATGCAATGCAGCCCTGTGTGTGCAATGCTGGCGTGCAAAACCCTGCGACTGTAACTAGCCGGTGGGCTCCACAATAGTGAAGTCCCTGGCAGCACAGCACCCAGTCTCTGTCAAAATCAGCTGTGCCCCCACCGTACGGGAGCCCCCTGCTCCACATTAGTGCTGTGCTGCAGCGCTTGGAGGAGCAAAGCCAGCATCAGGGTGCAGGGCGATGGCACAGTGGACCCATACCATGCAGACCACCCTTGGGAGTAATGTCAAATGCTCCGTTTTCCGCTTTCATCCCCACTGTGCCACCACTCTCCTTTTATTTTTCTCTGGAAATGTTTCAGGCATGATCTTTTGCCAGCCCCACGGGAAGGTGAGAAGGACGGCTGCCTCTTGGTAAAAGCTCAGCCAAGGGAGCACTGTTAGGAGTTTAATTTTCTCTCTCTAGGTGCTTGTGGCCAACAAGCAGGCTGGATTGGGCCCTCCCTTCAAAGGCAGGGCAGGTGTGTTGGGTGCCTGCAGCCATATGCGTTATGCCAGTGCAGGCAATCCGGGTGGTGATGCCTGAGGAAGATGGGGGAGAGGACCCAGCACGGGGCCATGAGCAAAGATTCTTCTGTATGCATGCAATGCTCAGCGAGGTCCATGGGAGACGCGCACTGCCACCAACATCCTGCACTGCATATGGCCCCTGCTCAGTCCCAGCACCCAAACCTGAGTATATGGCAGGTTGCTGAAGCATTAAGTTGCTCCAGAAAGGCATCCTGAGCATGGGCAGAAGGAGAGTTTGGAAGGAAAAGAGAAAAAAATTGAAGTCACCCCCTCTCGCTAGCACATCCCCAGAGGGCTGCATTCACACTCCCGCTGAACAGAAGGTTGCACAAGTGATGACACGCATGGTTTGGGGAGAAGTTGAGGTTTTGAAAGGTTACTTGTCTCTTCTTGGAAACAGAAGTTGCCCTCTTGCAGCTATGTGTTTGTTTGGAAAGAAGGGATGAGGGGGGGAACACAACAAGGCAAAGCAGGACCATTTTCACCTCCCTGCCATCAAGGACACTTTCTGGCATCGGAGCATGCAGGAAGATCAGGGCAGTGTGCACGTTTGCAAACGCCCAGGTGTGGCACCATCAGGGCGAGCTCCCGGCAGGGACCCCCATGGTGGCACGGCCTCTTCCTCCCCACTCGCTGCCGCTGCCCAGCCAGCAGGCACATGCACAGCCCCCGGCCCCGAGACACTGCTCCTTCTCTCTTGCATAAAGCTGCTGCGTGCCATCCCCTCTGCTGGCACCGCTGCCAGCTCTGCTGCGATGGTCCCGTAGGGCACATTTCCCATTACATAATTGTCCGTACGGGTCTCGCCAAATGCCAATACAATCCTCTGTGGGAGAGTTACTTTAGGAAAAAAAATAGTCAAACATAACAAGCAGGGATTTAGTCCCAGAAAGTACCTGAAGACAACAACCCAGGGAAGAGACGTCAGGATATTGCGGGTTAACAGCAATATCACCGCTGACCTGGATTGGGAAAAGTGCTTGTTTGACAGCACGATTTATGCATGGATTAAAGGTTGAATTTCTGGCTGTTGCCCGTGGGTGGCATCATACTTTACTGCCACTGCCAAACCCAGGGAGGGTTTTGCCACTGTCCCTTGCCCACAGGAGTAAGCTGTGCAGCGGGCTGCATCACCGGGAGGATGCGAGCCACTTCTCATTGCAGCGATGACCGCGTCCTCCCGAGGAAACTGCGCTTCCTCTCGTCCTTCCATGAATGGCTATGGCTTTTTCCCCAAGGTGTGGTCCACTAAAACCTCCCAGAGCTCTGCTGAGTGGCAAAGCAAGCCCAGCGATGCAAAGCCCAGCGATGCAAAGCCCTCCGTCTGCCCAGGGTTATTACCGTCCAGAAGCAGGCTCTCCTGGCCGGGGGAGCTGGGCATCCCGGCATCACCGCAAAGCCAAACCCTCTCCCAGAAGAAGCCAGAGGCCATGTACCTGCAGCTCAGCTATGTCCCGTGCTGGAGGCACGACACCCCGCAGGGGACCGGGAGGGTCCTACCCCTGGCACTGCCACCCCACTGCTCCCGGCTCCCCACCCTCGCCGGGGCCGGCCGGATGCCGCAGGGAGGGGTGCAGTGCCGGTGCCACCGCAGCCGGGTCCCCTCTCCTCCGGTCAATCAGGCGGCAAGCGGAGTGGAAGGGGACTTTGGGTGTAAACAGTCCCCGCGCCCCTGTCGCAGGAATGTCGGGAGCAACAAGGGGGCCTTTGTGCGGCACCGGGCCCCGTCCCAGTGCCCCCGGCCTGGCCCTCCCCCACCCCGGCACCGCACTTTCCCCCCTGCTTTTTCCTAGTATTATTCG